ATCAAACCCTGAAACAACCTCTGGGCCAATCTAATGAGGGCATGGCTAACCGGCACATATCGATTAGGAATTAAGCGCGTTAAATTGAGAATATGTATTCAGTGGAAGCAATTTTCTCTTTTTATTCGCAGCTCCTAAAGCTACAAAAGAAATTGGTTTCATAAACTGGAATGAACACACTTGGCTTCACGTGTGGAGAACATGGAGGGCACTAAGTACAAGGGTAACCAATCGCCTGTGTTTAAATATCTTATACGCCTTATAAATACATTAATTAATTAATTAATTCCTTGATTACAGACAAAAAAAAAGTTTTAATGACCCCTTATCATAAATGATTGTGAAACATTTCCCAACAGAATGCAATTCCCAACACRATCGCTGAAAATTAGCTTACATGTAAAAATATTTATCTTTTAAGTAAAAAATAATTAGAAATTTGAATTGCCGGAGTTTTGAGAGTAGTTGGCGTCTAGATTTGGAATTTCAAACAAAAAGCCACTTAAAAGCCCAATCAAAACATGAGAGATACTTGTCCCGCGTCACGTCAATTAGCTGTAATTGCCCCCAGTTAAGTCCAATCAAAACATGACAGAACCTCATCCCGCGTCCCGTGAATTAGCTGTAATTGCCCCCAGTAAAGCCCAATCAAAACATGAGAGATACTGATCCCGCGTCGCGTAAATTAGCTGCAATTGCCCCCTGTTAAGTCCAATCAAAACAGGAGAGACACTGGTCCCGCGTCACGTAAATTGATAGTAAGCAGTAGAGGTAACGGATTGTTTGTCGTGTTGTCTTAGGTGGGTGTACACACTAGCTGGAAGGGAAAGAAGGTTCGCCTTGTCACCATGACATCAGATACTTTTGAAGGTACGTAGAAAATAAAGTACACCTTTTAATCTGAGGGGGGGAGGGTTGTCAGGAAAGTAAAAAAAGTGCAACATTAAATCAGCTGGTCAGGTTCACCAGCTACAGGTCTCTAATGACGTTCTTTCTGTTTACCGCAAACCTCAAACTGCAGTTCCACCCTCAGGCGTGTTCTGTTCAAGTTTCCGCGACAAGGCGTCGTAGTAAAGTTGTCGCTGGAAGAGCCGCCATATTGAATTTCATGTATTCTCGACTTTCACATCCCCATAATGCCTTGCGT